GCCCGGAGGGGAGGCGGGACTACAAGGAGTGAGGCGTGCCATTGGCTAAGCAGGGAGGTGGGGCCGGGAGCGGAGCCTGAGCGGCACAACTTCCAAAGAGCCTGGGGTCCCAGGGCGCCCCGCCGGCACTGAGCCGGGGCGGCGGGCGCCGGACCATAGTGACAGACGTGGAGGGGGCGGAGCAGAGGTCTGCGGACGGCCTTGGAGGGCGGAGGGGACACTGAGACTCGAAGAGTCTTTGCACCTGCTGACCCAGGTCCGCTGGTCCGGAGAAGCGTCGTGGAGAGGTCTTTAAGGCCAAACCACTGTGCAGGATATGGAAGAAAACTGGAGGGCCCGGAGGGTCTTCAAAGTGAGAAAAGATCCACCGGGTGAGAGGCGGGCAATTGTAGCTTCACCAGCACACGGTGGGAATGTTTCAAACAGATGGGAAAATGGCCTAAGGGAGGGTGGCACGAGAGCTCGCGGGAAGCTCAGGTTTTAGATAGGCCCTGTGCGCCTCTGGAGGAAGGACCCGCCTACACAGTGCAGGAGGCCTGGGAGGCTCATCTGCATGCGGGAGAGCTCGCTGGGGCAGCGAGGAGGCCACTGTCTCTGGGAACAATGCTCCCAGGGCCGGCCTCACACCTGTCATCACGCAGGGCCATGGGAGGGAGACAGCAGATGGTGAGTCCTCGGCAGGAGGGAGAAGCAAGCTGTCCAGAGGAAGGACCACCAGCCGTGCACACGGGCTGGCAGTGGGTTGTCAGGCCTGGGGAGGAAGGCGAAAGTGAGCGGCAGAGAGAAGGCAGAAGGGCCAAGGCAGGTGAGGACGCTTCTCAGCCCAGCCAGCCTTCAGCCCCAAGGACTAACTCCTGAGGGTCCCAGGATTCCAGCCTGTGACAAGTGGGGTCATGTGAGGGAGGGGCACTCCCTCTCTCCAGGCTAAGGCCGAGGTCAAATCCAAAGCCAGGTTAGACCTACCTGGTCCTACTCCCTCGGGGCAGAGCAGCAGGTCACAGCAGGTGCCGGATGAAGGACCTGTCACAGCAGGGAGGCCCTCCACTACCCAGAAACACTAACCCCCATCCACTACTGTCCTTGCCACCACATCAGGAGCAGCTTCTAGCGCTCAGAATGAGACCCAGGCCCACCCGCCTGCCCCCAGCCCCAGATCTGCCCTGGGAGTCCAGCCAGCACCATGGGCTGGGCAGGTCCCCAGATGGGAACTGATGGCCAAGAGCAGAATCCTGCCAATTGTCCCCCTGCGGAGTCACTGTAAGAGAAGCAGGCCAGACGACGTTCTAATGGGGAGAGTATCGAACCAAGCAGGGAGGGTGGAGTCCTGGCTGGCCAAACTGCAGCAACATCTGGACCACGAGCCTCTGCCCTCCTGGCCCACCTCCACCCTCTTGGCTCTGATCTGCACCCCCTGCAGATGGCCTGCACAGACAGCATTGAGGGCTGGAAAACAAGAGAGGTCAGGGACGTTTCCCCAGCCACTGCCTCCACCCCCGGGCCTGCTATGGGGTCACTGCACCATCCCCTACCCCACCAAGGATCACTGCCTTTCTCAAGGGGGTCCTCTCTGCACCCCTCTTTCTGAATTCTGGTGATCACCTTCTCCTACTCCCACATGAGCTGGAGCATCTTAGGGGTACCTAGACTACTCGGGATTCCCTACTCCGCTCCACCTTTGTAAACCCTCCCTATAATTAAGCCCTCCTTTAATTATCCTAAATTGAGTGTCTGCTCTTTTCCTGCTGGGACCCGGACTGACCCCAGCCACCCACCCTGGTTTCCTGGGATGCCCGGGTTTGCAATAATCAGGCCCATGGGCTCCATAGCAGTTCTGGCTGTGGGGTTGGGGAGCAAGGCAGATCGAGGTATCCCCCCAACCTCGTCCTACCTCGAGTCCTGGCCAAGCATGAAGCCGCCTTCTGCTGGTCTTCAGCCTGCTCCTGCTCACTGGCCGGCCATCCTGGGTTCCAAGTCCACGTGGCTCAGTGCAGAGCCGCGTTCCCCCAGGACGTTCCTCCTTTGTGACTTCACTCACTGGAATCACCTGGGAGACAGGGCTGAATGTTCCACCCCAGAGTCTTGGCCTCTAAGAGGCAGAGACAGCAGGCCCAGCCAGCCCAGAGGACTGTGTCCCCGGTGTAAATGAGGACACTGCTGGCCCATGTCCTGCAGGGAGGTTGAGGGCAGCCTCAGAGGCTCTGGGCTCTCCTAGCACCATGGACGACGCTGCTGTCCTCAAGCGACGAGGCTACATCATGGGGATAAATTTGGGAGAGGGCTCCTACGCCAAGGTCAAATCTGCTTATTCTGAGCGCCTCAAGTTCAACGTGGCGGTCAAGATCATCGACCGCAAGAAAGCCCCCACGGACTTCTTGGAGAAATTCCTCCCCCGGGAAATTGAGATTCTGGCCATGCTGAACCACCGCTCCATCATCAAGACCTACGAGATCTTCGAGACCTCGGACGGCAAGGTCTACATCGTCATGGAGCTCGGGGTCCAGGGGGACCTCCTGGAGTTCATCAAGACCCGGGGAGCCCTGCAAGAGGAGGATGCTCGCAAGAAGTTCCACCAGCTCTCCTCAGCCATCAAGTACTGCCACGACCTGGATGTCGTCCACCGAGACCTCAAGTGCGAGAACCTTCTCCTCGACAAGGACTTCAACATCAAGCTGTCCGACTTCGGCTTCTCCAAGCGCTGCCTGCGGGACGACAGTGGCCGGTTGACTTTGAGCAAGACCTTCTGCGGGTCGGCGGCGTACGCGGCCCCCGAGGTCCTGCAGGGCATCCCCTACCAGCCCAAGGTGTACGACATCTGGAGCCTGGGCGTGATCCTCTACATCATGGTCTGCGGCTCCATGCCCTACGACGACTCGAACATCAAGAAGATGCTGCGTATCCAGAAGGAGCACCGCGTCAATTTCCCACGCTCCAAGCATCTCACGGGCGAATGCAAGGACCTCATCTACCGCATGCTGCAGCCCGACGTCAACCGGCGGCTGCACATCGACGAGATCCTCAGCCACTGCTGGGTGCAGCCCAAGGCCCGGGGCCTGTCCTCTGGAGCCATCAACAAGGAGGGGGAGAACTCCCGGGGCACCGAGGCCTCATGGACCCCTGAACCCGGCTCTGAAAAGAAGTCTACCACCAAGCTGGAGCCTCGGGAAGAGGCGCGGCCTGAGACAAAACCCGAGGACGAGAACGTGCAAGCGCCCAGGCAGTTGGAGACCCTGGGCGAGCAGTCAACCAGGGAGACAGAGGAAGAGCACCCCCCACAGCCTCCAGAGACGCACACCTAGCGAGCCCCGTGTGGCCCAGGGGGCAAGCGGGGAATGAGGCAGAGCTCACGGCTTCCAGCCCGAGCTCAGAAGTCAAAGGACGAGCCAGAGAAGGAAGAGTTCTGGATGAGCCGCTATTTTCGTCAATTTCTTCTCCCTCCCTTTGAACTTAGTAACCCACATGGCTAAAGAAGCAATAAATCACTATATTAGTGCACACCCCAAGGTCAATGTCTTTGCCCCAGCTAAGAGCAGTCCTGGCCTCCCCCCTCACCCCCACCCCGGTTTCCCACTCTGATTGCAGTAAGACCCCCAACATACTTGGAAAATACATCCTGGGGGCCCCCAGGCCCTGGCTGAGGCCTCTGCACCAGTTAGAGGCTGGGGCCAGAGGTGAGGTGGGGGCAGGCAGAGAGGTGGGTGCAGAAGATGCTGCTCCACAGGGAGTGCCCGTGAGCACAGGGACAGTGGGCAAGGCAGGGTGAGAACAGAACTGAGAAGGGCGAGGTGGCTGCTTGCAGAGGGGAGGGGCCCAGCTGGGAGAGCTGGTTCTGTACGCACCTGGGGCTGTGGGTCTGAGCACACCTGTCCTCCTCGCCCAGGGCGTCCGGCCCCTCAGGCTGCCAGTGGGGACAAGTGGGGAGACTGTAGAGGGCAGGGGACCAGCCTTTCGGCCCTTCTAGAGCTTTCCCAACCTGCTAAATGTCTCGTTTGCTCCGCCCTGTCCACACAGTCCCCTCTGCGCTCAGCCAGCACCCAGTTCTCAGCAGTGCCAAGCCACCCACCCCGTGCCATTCCCCAGCCTGGGAGAGATGGGGGGTCACTGGTGGGCCCAGCCACACTGCAGCCTGAGCATGTCCCCCAGTCCCGGGACATCCTCCTCTCTGGTCCCAGTCTGTCCCCAGGGGTGATGCCCTGCCAAAGCTGAGAAGCTGACGCTGGTCCTCACAGCACGTGCCCGACCTGTGGGCAGAGGAAGGTGGCCGTCACTGTCCCACGGCAGGCAGGGCCTGCATCGGGCCCCGCTGACGGCCTCCTGCTGCACACCCTGGCAGTGCCGTCCTCGCCTTACTCTGGACAACCTCACACGGCCAGAGGGTTTAACACACAAAGGAGAACAAGGGCCGCAGGCTCACCTGTTCCCTGGCCTATCTGTGTCTCGGGAAGACATTGAACTGTCCCCGGCAACCCAGTCTCCTTGGACCTGCCCCCGTGCCCTCCCGCCACATCAAGTCCACTTCCTGCCCAGATCCTCCCTCTCCCCACAGACTCCTTCCCACGTGGCTCTGGGCTCCACCCCTGCCCCTCCCATCACCTTTCCCAGTAGCCAGGGTCCCCCTTCTAACCCAGTCCTGCTCCCACTGCTTCCAGGAAGGACCCCAGTGCCCGGTCTTTGAGGACCTCTCAGGTTCCCTCTCGTCCTGCACCACCGCACCTGAGACACACATCAAACCATGGACTCTCCGCTGCAGGTTCTGCTCTGCTCATCTCTCTAGGCTCAGAGGCAACAAGGCCTCTGCAGAGCCCCCCGGAGTTCCTGGCAGTGGGTCTAGCTGCCACTGCAAACTGCCAAGGCAGCCTGTGGGTACCCAGGGTCTGGGCACAGAACAGGCCCCGCATGGCAGTTGCAAAAGTTGCTCAATTTTTCCCATGAAGACGCTGGTGGGGGAGCAGGACCCCAGGACTCTTGGAACCCACCCAGGGGAGGGCCTGAGGCTCATGCGCCTTCTCCCCTACCATCTCACAGGCCTGCCATGGTTTTCGGGGCAGTGGGCGCATGGCAAGAGGGCTGGGAGTGACTCACTGCAGCCCCACCAGGTGACCTGAGCAGGAAACGGCTCAGAGAGTGAATGACCTGTCTGAAGCATGCCCCACGCCCCCGGGGTAGGAGCTCCAGGTGGCCTCGCCCCCACCAGGCTCAGTCCTGGCTCAGATCCCTTCAGGGACCCTCAGAGGTGGCACTCCATGGCCCACCCACACTGCGTACTCTCAGGCCATCACGTGAACGGCTGTTCTCCTCCTCCACCCTGCTAGTTCCTCAGACCTCCGCCTTCCCTGGGCTCCCTAGTCCAATCCCCCAGTGTTTTGTCCTCAGGCTGCAGGTGTGTCATTGAGCCTCGCCGGCCCCAGGAAGGCCTGGGCTGTCTCGAGCCCATCAGCGACCCTCAGCACCTGGAACAGACCCTCGAGTTCCTGCGGGATGGAGGGTCAACACGCGCCATGCATACGGTGTGCAACTCTGGGAGCAACCCTGGAGGTCCTGGGTTCACTGTAGACCCTCCCTCCAACCCACCAGGAGCCCGGGCCTGTGTGCACGCCCCGGGTAAGGGCTGCCCGCTACAGGCCCCGGCTGCTCTGCTGAGGGGTGTTGCCCGTCTCTTCCAGCAGGTCTCTGCAAAACCAGCCCGTCCCAGCCAGGGGCAGGCTGTCAGGGAGCAGAACCACACCCAAAAGGGACAATGAGTTGCAGACAGCCAAGAAAGCCGAATGCAGAGGGATGCCCCGTGCAGAGCACTGGGCACTGGGGAGGCCAGGCATGGGGACATAGTGCTCCTGGGCCCTGGCCCACAAGTCTACACAGCCAGCCCCTTCTTGCACACCAGGGAGAGAAACTCTGCTCAGTTCAGCAAAAAGGAGCCCCAGGGGGTGACCCAATAGCGAGAGATGCTCTGAAGAGCAGGGCGTGGGACCTGGGGAGTCTGTCACTGCAGGAAGGTGGTCACCATGCACATTGGCAAAGTTTGGCTCGTGCTGAGTCCCTCGGCCTCATTATCTGGCAATTCACCCGGTTCCTGCAACGTCCCACAGCAGCCTCCGGACATGGGGTGCTCCCTGGGCATGCCAGGTATGTCCACGTGGCCAAAGTTCTGCCCACGGTGTTATGCCTGCCTGTCGTGTCCTGCCCCTCTTGTCAACCTGCTGGAGAGCTGCTGGATCCCCTGGACCCAAATCCAATGTCACTTCCTCTTCGAGACACCTCCCGCTCCATGACCTCTCCTCCAGACACTAGCCTGCCCTGCAGCTCCCTGGGGACAAGGACGCCTGTGATGGAAAAGGGACATCTGTGACGGACAACACCAAGGCTTTCCAAGTCCCCTAGAGACGCACACGGCAAGCCACATTTTCCACCTATGTGATCTGAAGAAAGGATTTCCACGTTGCTTCCAATGAAAAGGCCATCCGTGAGACAGGAACGACGCACAACGCGGGGTTCCAACGGGCAACCACTCCTCATGAAGGTTCCGGGTGGGACCAGCAGTTAGCGTAATGGCCATGTCACTGGACTCCCATGTAGTCGACTGCGGTTCGAGTCCTGGACCCAGTGGCTTAAACAACTCACATCGGGAGCGTGTGCGTGCATGCCCAAGATCCCGAGAGGAGAAGGGAGGAGAAGGGATTACGGCGTGGCCATCCCCCCTGGGGAGTGATTTCTTGCTTTTTGTCTCTCTGTCTCTCTGTCTCTATCTGTCTGGTGAGTGCACATGCCCTATAGCAAAAACCTCTCCAAAAAAAAAAAAAAGGATGACATGATCAGGAATCCCCCCTCAACTAGGCGCTCGGTGCTTGACCCCCAGGCCCCCCAGCAACAAGGCCCTGCCGCAGCCCTGTCCACTCCCTGACTGGAGTGCTCTGGCTTCCTCTTTGATAGGCTTCCCCTTTTTGACTCTAAACTCATCCCAGCCCAGACTCCTCTGGCAGACACTGGCCGTACTCCTGCCCCAAAGCGGATTCTCAACCCTGCCAGCGACCGTCTTCACCATGACGTGGAGCGTACCTCCTCCCAGACTGCACCCTGCGAGGGCTGTCCATCACTCGGAGAAAAACCCTCCGACCTCTTCCTCCTCCACTTCCCTCCAGACCTTTATGATTCCGCCCTTCTCAGAATAAGCCCTGTCACTTCCCAGGCTTTTCCTGCCTGGGGGTCTCCCCATCTGCTCCACCTGGTCCACAGTGCAGGTCCAGGGGGCCTCTCAGGATTGCAACGCTAGGAGTAAGCCTGCCGACACCAGGTCCGCCACAACCCTCCTCCAGACAGCTGGAGCCCATCCGTCTGTCCAGCACGCACGTCCTAGACAAGGCTGCCCTGGCCACACCCTGGCAGCTGGGCCTCCAGGTCCACCCCTGCCTCAGAGCATGCATCTGCCTGCCCAAACCCTGGGCACCCAGTGGGCACTGCCTCCCAGAAGGCTGCCCGCCCTCCACCCACACGCATGCCCCTGCTTGCCGGAGAAGCAAGTCCCCTGCCCGCTCTCTGCCCCAAGGAGCCCGTCGCTCCTGCTCCTGAGCTGCCTGCCAGGCCTGGGGCGGGCCCTCTCTCCCAAGCTCGCCAGTTCCAAGGACACAAGCCCTAGAAGGGGCTTTCTTTTTTTGTTTGGAAAGGTGTTTTTTTTTTTTTTTTGGGGGGGGGGCTATAGGGGACATGCGCTCGCCAGAGAGAGAGAGAGACAGAAAGTGAGAAATTACCTCCCGGGGGGATGGCCATGCTGCAATCCCTTCTCCATTCTCCTCTTGGGATCTTGGGCACACAAGCACACGCGTCTGGCATGAGTTTTAAGCCACCGGGTCTGGGACTCAAACCATGGTCGACTCCATGGGAGTCCAACAACACAGCCATTACGCTAACTGCTGGTCCCTAGAAGAGGCTTTCTTCACACTCCATAGGAGCTGCAGGAAATTGGCACTGGTGGAACCAGGACCAGGACGGGGAAGTCCCCATGGCCAGGGGAGGAAAACAGGTCCAGGGCTGGCACCCTAGTTGGACCCAGATGGCCTCCCCACAGATCTGAGCCATGACAGGGAAAGACATGGAGCAGGGGAGGTTACCAAGTCCTGGGGGCCAGCTTCCTTCCAGCGGGCAGTAAGGGGGTGCTCCTGCCAGACTGGCCTGGCTTCCAGGGTTCCAGGGGCTCCGTTCCCCCCCGCCCAGGCCCACTCCCGGCAGCCTGGCTTTATGACTTCATTCGCTGAAGTCACCCGGAGACAATGCTGAGCGTTCCACCCCGCCAGGTCCAGGCCCAGCCCAGCCAGACGACTCCCCGCAGCGTCAATGAGGACAATGCCTGCTGGCCCACGTGGGGAGGGGATGTAGAGGGCAGCGGCGCCGGCCGCTCCTGGCACCATGGACGATGCCACGGTCCTAAGGAAGAAGGGTTACATCGTGGGCATCAACCTTGGCAAGGGCTCCTACGCCAAGGTCAAATCCGCCTACTCCGAGCGCCTCAAGTTCAACGTGGCCGTCAAGATCATCGACCGCAAGAAGACGCCCACCGACTTCGTGGAGAGGTTCCTGCCCCGGGAGATGGACATCCTGGCCACCGTCAACCACCGCTCCATCATCAAGACCTACGAGATCTTTGAGACCTCGGATGGCCGCATCTACATCGTCATGGAGCTCGGGGTCCAGGGGGACCTCCTGGAGTTCATCAAGTGCCGGGGAGCCCTGCACGAAGACGTGGCTCGCAAGATGTTCCGCCAGCTCTCCTCGGCCGTCAAGTACTGCCACGACCTGGACGTCGTCCACCGGGACCTCAAGTGCGAGAACCTTCTCCTCGACAAGGACTTCAACATCAAGCTGTCCGACTTTGGCTTCTCCAAGCGCTGCCAGCGGGACGGCAGTGGCCGCATCGCCCTGAGCAAGACCTTCTGCGGGTCGGCGGCGTACGCGGCCCCCGAGGTCCTGCAGGGCATCCCCTACCAGCCCAAGGTGTACGACATCTGGAGCCTGGGCGTGATCCTCTACATCATGGTCTGCGGCTCCATGCCCTACGACGACTCCGACATCAAGAAGATGCTGCGTATCCAGAAGGAGCACCGCGTGGACTTCCCGCGCTCCAAGAACCTCACGGGCGAATGCAAGGACCTCATCTACCGCATGCTGCAGCCCGACGTCAACCGGCGGCTGCACATCGACGAGATCCTCAGCCACGCCTGGTTGCAGCCCCCCAAGGCCAAGGCCATGTCTTCCGCCTCCTTCAAGAGGGAGGGGGAGGGCAAGTACAGGGCCGAATGCAAACTGGACACCCGGCCAGGCTCAAGGCCTGAGCACCGGCCGGACCACAAGCTGGGGGCCAAAACCCAGCACCGGCTGCTGGTGTTGCCCGAGAACGAGGACAGGATGGAGGACAGGCTGGCCGAGACCTCCAGAGCCAAAGACCACCACGCCGCGGGAGCCGAGGTGGGGAAGGCGAGCACCTAGAGGTGGCGAGGGCCCCGGGGGGGCGTGGCGTGGCATGCACCTTACACGCACGTAAACTGAGTAGACAGGGAGGCGCTGAAGAAGGCACAGGTGTGCAAGGAACAAGTAAAACCCGTCAATTAAACCGCTATTTTGATTACGTTCTATTAGCTTTCTTCCACGTAGCAGCAGGAACGTTCATTACCGACCACCAAATAAACCACTAAGTGTGTACAAGCATCCAGTGCCCGGCGAAGAGTCTTTTTCTCTAGGACTCAGCCAGCTGCCCCCCCCTGCGGCACGGGGGTCTGCAGCGAGTGACGCAGGCAAAGGCAGATTCATGCTGAGGCCTCGAGGGCAGGGGGACCGCTGCCGTGGTCCCCCTGCCGGGCCTCGTGTGTGTCTTCCTCTGACCTGCCACTGTCCCCGCGGCCTCCAGGACAGGCCACTCTGACCCCATCCTGTTCCTCGCACAGCCCGGGGCTCGGGGTCCTCCTTTCCCTCTATTCCCTTGGGTCATTTGAGATTGGTGACCTTGGTCCCTCGAGCCTCCCAGCCTCCCCCAGGGGCAGTCCCAGCTGAGACCTCCCTCCTGGGTCCTCCCCATCCCATGAACTTGCGGGTCTGGCCCACAGCCCTCCCCCATGGCGCACTGGCAGTCTCTCCCCACACAGGCTGAGGGCTGTGGTCAGCACCTGGACAGCTCCCCCGTCTCCCTCACTTATGCCCTCAGAGGGCCTCCTCCTCGAGCTCAGGGCCACCTTGGGCTGAGGCCTGCCTTCTCTGTGGGGAGAAAGCACGCGAAGCACAGTTCCAACCCACAGGGCACGTTAGGTTCAGC